ACGATGAAATGATTGTATACGGAACACAAAGATACCTATTACACCACAAGCATGATATATCCGATAGGCATGACTTTCATTAGTGCCATCTTTTCAGATACTACACTCGATTATTCCATTACTGCGGAAATCAGTTTGTTCGCCCTTCGACAAATACGACATGCACCCTGAGATGTATTGGTACAGGGCTGCTAGTGCCACCCATCAAAGAAAAGTGGGATGAGGATCGTTACCGTCATTCAGGATTGTGGACATAACTATTGGCACACTTATGCAGCCACCCTGGGCCTCAGTTGCGGTGTGCAATAAAATTGCAGTGCCATGACAAGCCTCCTGCACCCATCACTCCAGCTGAAACGGAAGCCGAGTCAAGTGTTCAGACCGCGTTCTCCGAAACTCATCACGCAGTAGCCGCTGCATTATTGATCCCGGGAATCTTACCATGACCATCGAAAAGCTTAGTCCTTGACTGAAGATACCAGCATAAGAGATTAGTGGATAGATGTAGTCTGCCCAATAATTGTTTGCGGCAAGTATATTACCTGCGAGTGATTTCCTTTTGAAAAAGAACCCTCACCAGTGCATAATTCATCTTCAGATCTTCATAAAATCTATTCCAAATCATCATGATCTAACTTTCGTGACGAAATCATTAGGATTCTCGCATGCAGATGGGCCTGGGAGCGCTGATCTCTATGGATCTGACTTCCATGACACTGTGCTTATGCTGGCTTCGCTCGGATTTCTGCAACAGGCAATGCCTCTCAAGGATTACCCTTCCATGCTCAGCTGCAAGATGCTGTAATGACAGCACACTGACTTGACCACCAACTCAGCTACTAGCCCGCCTGCCCCCACCCCCGCCCCTTTCATGTTGCAGGATACCCTATAGCTCGGAACATAAAGCGCACTAACCGGCTCGGAATGGCTTGCCGTCTTTCAGTGGGAGCCAAGATCTACTTAGGGTTCCTGTGTCGCAGCTAGACATATATCCGTCCATCACCACCTCATGCAAACGGCACACGTGCATTCCCCTGTCTGACTCAACATCCGCCTACGCACCAGCTATGTCCAGCCCTTCGCCTTCCAGTGATCAGCCTCAATCTCGCAATCGCCCTGGCTCTGCATGCGCGGAATGCCGTCGCCGAAAAATGCGTTGCAATGGGAAGCACCCCCAATGCGTTAATTGTTCTAACGCGGGAATAACATGTGTCTTCAACCCGCAGCCTTCCCGCCGGGGTCCTAAGAAAGGCCATCTGAAAACCTTGCAGGTGCGTATCGGTGAGTAGTATGCTCTACTATAAAAAAGACCAACAAGGACTTACGTGAATAGCGAATCTCGAGAATGTACTGTTTGGACGGACACAAGATCCCGTGTCCGCAGAGACATCCACAAACGGTGATGTTGCTGCACAACCCACGGTGCATGGCTGGAATGGGGAGCCCCAGTTAAATGTACTTCTCAACGAGTTCAACGCCCCAGCGGGAACACCAAGCGTAGGGACAGTGCCGGTTTCGGACTTATTACATGCCGAACTGTAGGTATCATGATTTCTTTTTCCGTGCTGTTATGCTGAGCAAGCAAGTGACCAGTTGTACTTTGATCGTGCGCACGTTTTCGTTCCCATTCTCAACGCACGGCGCTACCTTTCCTGGACCAGGGATTCCAACAAGTCTGTCTCGAGAAGATGCTTGCAGTACGCCATGTGGACGATAACTACATCCATGTCCGCCCAACTGGAGCATCTATGCGAGCCCCTGTACCAGTCTGTTCGGCAGCTCCTAGGCTATCTACAACTAGTAGATGGTGATTCCGAGATTGACCAAATAGAGCATGTTCAGGCTTTACTGATACTTGCTGTTTACGAATTCACTCACCATAACTTCCGTCGCGGGTGGGTGAGTGCCGGTCAGGGCATCCGACTTGTGCAGCTAATGGACCTGCACAAACTTGATCTTGATAAGGCGGACAATACAGGATCTCACCAAGCGAGAACATTGGAGGATCTCGTCTGTGCGGAGGAGAAGCGTCGTGTCTTTTGGGTAGCGTACATTCTGGACCGACTTATCTCCTTGAGACATGAGAGCCCGTTGACCTTTGACGAGCGAACTGTATGTCAAAGTCGATGCTCTGATTGCCGGCGTACCTAGCTGATAGTCTGACAGATTGCGACACGACTGCCCGCCAGAGAGGAGACGTTCCAGACAGGTCAACTGAGCCAAATGACCGGCTTCCTCTCGAAAACGATTATTGAAGATAGACCCCTACTCAAAGCCGAGCTTTCGGAAATGGTCATCCTAGCATCACTTTGTGGGAAAACAGTATTGCACCGACAGCAGGCAGTCGCCGAGCAAGCCGATTGCGGCATATCCAACAGCTTCTGGGAGCGACATCGCTGGATAGATGCTGTACTAGTGAAGAAGAGTCGGTCCATCTCGGCAGTCCAGTCTTCAACGCCCACTCTGCCAGCCGAACCGGTGTCTCTCACCCCCAATCTAATGATACAATCGGCTATTCTATATCACTGTATGACACTGGAGCTACTGGCTCGCGCGACTGAGAATAGCGAGACGCTGCAGCAATGTCGACAGCGGGCACTCCTGACTGTACAGGAGATTATCCGACTGACAGAGGCAGTGTTACAGCTGAGTTATTTTGAGGTGACTTGCAACGATCTCTTTCTTTTAGCTAGCTGTACTGATGTCCGATAGATCTCCCCGTTCACACCGCTTCCCATACTTCTGTGCGCCCAAGTGCTCATGATGTATCAAGATACAGATGCCTCGTGCGCGCTGCAGCTGCAGGAAGTTCTAGGTATGGTGCAAAATTTGGCAAATACCAACTATCTTTGCCGGGAATGGGCTAGCCAACACTCTGATCTGTTTGATCTCGAACCCGACTTTGTCTTTGCTGAGGAGGAGGGTCATGGCTAGGTTCGTTGATATTGTACATACTTTTCTATGGAAAGTTGCTCCTCAGCCTTATACGTTACGAGATTCGGAAACTCGCTTGGGTTGGCCTTGTGACGTGCACAACCATGACGAAAATGGCTCACGGTGAATGAGCAGCCAATAAAGGTAGTTGAGGTGTGGGACTGCCGGATCACTAAGAGATCGGCTCAAAAATTGGCTTCGATGGGGGTGGTCAGGCGGCTTCATCCGCCTATAATATACCTGGTATACCCCGGATCCGCAGCGCCGGTAGATGAAGCTGTGAGATTGCCGTGTGCGGCGGGCTGATGCTTTAGCCGCGGAAATGAGACTCGGCAAGCAACCGTCTTATCAGATCAACTTTAATAAGGCTTGGTTGAATCGATCGATCAACCTTGTGCTTCTCTTGGGTAGTCATGGCGAGCCAGAAGATAAGAGTAGAACTGTCTGATCGCTCCCGGTCGGCGGCTGAGCAGGAGGAGTCATCCTTGCCGCAGAATGCGGATCGGGCTTCGAATAGCAGGAGTGAGCCTGTTCCTGAACTGATCTATCCCCAGTGGTAAGCTCACCAACCTACAAGAGGTTCAACCTTTCTGACAACCAAGGCACTATGTCGCCGTTGTGGCAGCCGGGTTCATCGTGATGATCACGACCTGCGCTTTCGTGTTCTCCTTTGGAGTCTACCAATCCCTCTATGAAGAGATGGCCCGCGAACCAGACACTCCTTTTACCGGAAGCACCACTGCGCTCATCGACCTGATCGGCACACTGGCCATTGCGCTCATGTCGATGGCCGGCCCTTTCGCCATGTCCTGGGCGAAGCTCTTCTCCCCACAAGCCGTGATCATCGCCGGCGGCTGGGTATTCGGCATCGCCTACATCCTCGCCAGTTTCAGCAAGGCTCTCTGGCATTTTGCCCTAACACAGGGCTTACTCCTGGGAATTGGCACCTGCATGGCCTACGTTCCCACCATGGCAGTTGCCCCAACCTGGTTCAGCAAACGTCGCGGCCTCGCCATGGGAATCATCATCTCGGGGACCGGAGTGGGGGGCATGATCTGGCCGCCTGCACTGCGGGCCATGATCTCCCATGTGGGCTTCCGCAACGCCCTGCGCATCTCAGGCTGCATCTCACTGACGACCGTCACCGCCGCGGGCAGCATCCTGCGCTGGGAGCCCAAATTCCACGAACAAGTCAAACTGCAAACAGCCGGATCATCCAGCAGCCGCTCCCACCCTCGTCCCAAATGGATCCGACTCTTCTCCGTCCCGCTCGTCAACTGGCGTGTAGCCCGATCCAAACGCTTCACGGCTCAAGCCCTCGGCTGCTTCCTCCAATCCGCCGGCTACTCCACGCCGCTCTTCTTCTACGCCGCATACGCCCAAGCCCTGGGCTACAGCGCCACGACAGCAGCGAACTTCATCACGCTAAGCAACGCATCGAACTTTGTCTCCCGCATCATCATCGGCTACGCAGCCGACAAACTCGGCAGGATCAATGCCCTCGCGGCCACGACGCTGCTCAGCGCCGTCGCCGTCTTCGCCTTCTGGTTGCCCTCGTCACTGGTCTCGAGCGCCGCAGCACACGGACTCTTCATCGTCTTCACGATCCTATACGGCGCCTTCGCTAGCGCGTATATCTCCCTCTTCCCCGCATCGCTGGTGGAGCTCTTCGGCGTGCAGCATTTCACTAGCGTCAATGGGGCGCTGTATCTGGTGCGGGGAGTCGGGGCGTTGCTTGGCACGCCGCTGACGGGGCTGTTGATTCCACGAGGCTCCGCCCTGACGGAGTCGGGGACATATGAGCGGGCTGCTATTACAGTGGGAGTGTTGTTGTTCGCTGCGACGGTGGCATGTTTCTGGGTACGTGCTGAAGTACATGGGAAGTGGCGGGTGTAGCTACCTCAACTCACTGCAGATGATAGTAATTAAATCATTGATAAATAAGTAACATTACAATCATAGAATCGAACCGAATCGAATCGAACCGAATCGAAAATAGAATACATTCAACCCGAAACCATCCCCCAACTACCATCATATCATACCCATATCAACAAATCCATGAATTAAAACCCCCCCAAAACAGCCCCACACAGCACCATCCCCAACATGCCCAACCCAACCTTACTAACCCCAACCTGCTTCATCGGCACAGCGGCAGACGACCCCGTCTCACTCGCCGCACTGCCCGTACTCGTCCCCGTCTTCGTAGAAGACCCCGTAGCCTTCGTGCCCGTCACGCTCGCCGTCGCCGTCGCAGTCAAGTTACCGGAGCAGAAGGGGTCCTCGACCGCCCCGTTGGACTGAATGCAGGAGAGAAGCTCCTTCACGTCTTGACCTTGGGCCAGACAGTAGATTCCGCAGTCGTTGTCGTACTTGGTTGGGCTGGCGGGCGAACAGCATTTGTCCATGATGGCGCTCGCGTTGTTGGTGTTGGGGAGCGCGCAGGCGGCATCTTGCACGGGGAGGACGTACAGGTTGCCTGTGGAGGTGCAGGTGCTGGCGGAGGTGGTGGCTGTGGCGGTTGTGGTGGACATTTTGATTTTTTGGCTCCTCGGAGAGGGTGAGGATGTGAAAAGAGTGTAGATGTGGAACGAGTGTTGTTTGTAGATGTGGATAACAACGAAACGAGTGTTGTTTGCGTGCGTAGGTAGGATGTAGGTAGGTGAGGAAGAGGAAGAAAAGGTGAAAGAAAGAAAAAGCGAGAACAAAGGTACTAATAAATCAGTAAATAAATATCTCACCTCCGGATTTTCCCAACAGCTACAATCCCAAACAGGAGACCCCAAGCAGCCCAAGGCAGCCGATCCACCAAGACCCTTGGCAGACCCACCAGACCCTATATTTATCAGCGGCAATACACGGCAATACCAGCCGTAGGCCCCCGTAACTGACTAGAATACAGGGCCATCAGGCAATGCAGGTTTCAGGTGTAGCCAATCAGAATAGACAAAACGCGAGATCGCACCCCAGGATTACCAGATCGGGGGAAGAGTTCAATCCACGTAGGGGGATCCGAGCTGGCCATCATCCATCGGGTGACGTGGTTCATTCAGGTTTGGTTGTATTTTTTTTTTGTGGGATGGGGTTATTGGATGCTTGCATTAATTAATATGAATATTATTGCATTGATTTGTTGTTTTTTTGGGGGGTGTGCTTTGTTTTGATTGGGGATGTTTCAGTTGTTATTTACAGTAATGTACTTTTCTTCAGTGAGGAGGGTATTGTAGTAGTAGCATGAATGTACTTTGTAGTGTAGCTGATGATGGATTAATTTTAGTATTATGCTATCGAGGGAGCTATTCATCATCCATTCCATTCCATTTTATTCATTCATTCCTTTCATCTCCCTCTGACTTTCACGTCATATTCATGGTCAAATGCAAAGTACCCCGTACTGTATAATGCATCTGCACTGCACTACACACATCACATCCCCCATCGGTACCTGCACCATCGCCCCTAAACACTACACTACACTGCATCATCAACCTCCCTCTTCACCCTCTCCAACACCTCCCTCGCCCACCTCTCCCTCCTCACCAACTCCCCATTACACACCACCGGCAACCCGAGCACCTCATTCGCATGACAATCCGAAAACACAGGCCCTTTCACCCCCCGTTCCCGACAAATCCGAACCGCATTCTCCAATAGATTCCTCCCCACCCCGATCCCCCGAAGATGTTGCTGCACAGTCCATGCTCGGATGACACTGACGACTGGCCGGTAGGACCCTGTTCCTGAAGTTGAAGGAGCATATTGCTGCTGGTACTGGTAAAGCTGTTCCCGTACCACCGCATCCCGCACATGGCCCCAGAGTTCTTCCTCTGTGTATATGATCCGCAGGACGAGCGTGCCGATCACCCGGTTTTGGTATTTCGTTACGAGCATAATATCTCCTTCTTTCTTCTCGTCTTCTTCGTGTTTTTCTGCATTGTGGTGATCGTTCCGCACGCGGGCATCATCTCCCACTTTAGATGTAGAAGACAACGATCGAGATGGTGAAGGTGATCGCTCTCTCCGCCGATGCTTATACCTCGTCCCTCCCCTCCATAACCACACCCAGGTCCCCGTACGGCCTGCTTTCTCGAGGTACGGGTGTGTCGTGTGTGCCGCGGCGAGGAGATACACCATGATGCAGGCGGGCCAGGTGATCAGTAGCAGGAAGGGCCAGGTATTGTCTCCTCCGGTGGTGTTGGTGCTGAGTGCGCGAGTGAAGAAGTAGGTTATGACGAGGGAGAAGGTAAGGCAGGAGAGCATGGCCGGGTGGGTGAGCATGGAGCGGGCGGCGAGTTGGCGCTGCTGGGCGATGCTGTCTGCTATGAGGTGCAGAGAGGCGATTTGTTCGGCTTCGGTGGTGGTGATGGATGTTGTTAGGGGGTTGTTTGTGGAAGACATTTTGGGATTGAGTTTGGTGGTGTGGGAGTTGGTATGAGGGAGGTTGTTTTGGGAGATGGTTGGTGAGGTGAGGAAAGTATACAGGTGGGATGTGGTGAGTGAAAGCATACTGACGCAGGTTCCAAAATGCTATCTATGCTGTTTTTACTGTGTTACTGGTTTAGTGTATATTGGAAAATTGACAGCATTCGAATTTAGAGAACAACTAAGCTAACGCTTTGCAGGTTACTTATTGCAAACTTTTTATCGCATGCTCTTGTCCAAAATGCTACCGTGCTGGCGATTGCCTGTTGGACCTCTTGTTCCCTATCCAGCTAGCTATTACTCCCCGGAACTACCTGCACGCATCTCAATTACCGTTCCTTATGTCCTATCCCGCTTCGGCCCCTGCTCCTGCCCTGAGGCTGTGACCGTAGGTGTGGGTGTAGGTTCCTCGCCAGACAGATACTCCAGAGTCAGACGCTTCGTCTCTGGAATGAGCAGCGAGGTTAAGCACCCGCACAGCATGAACAGCGCAAATATCTGCATTACGTGATTGAGCCACGGCGTATCAGATGAGTTAACGCCCCCCTTCGCTCCCCGATGCGCCAGCGGCCCGAATACACATTGCGCAATGATGGCACCGATCTTTCCAGAAGCAGCACTGATCCCATGCGAGGTTGATCGATACCGTGTGGGGAAGCACTCCCCGGGCACAATGAACGTGGTGGCGTTGGGCCCAAAGTTGAAGAAGAACTGTGCCACGACGTACAATGCCAATAACCCGTTGTCAGACTTCTTCAGCGGCTCATACGCGAATCCGATGACGATGAATATGATGGTCAGTATCACGAATCCGGTAATCTGTATTGGCTTGCGGCCTAGCCGGTCGACTGTTGCAACCGTCACCCAGTATCCTGGAATGGCTCCAGCACAGATCAAGATCAGGTTGCCCACAGCGTTGCGGTAGAAGTATTCGTACACAGTACTTCCACCGTTCCAGCCGATGGCTGTCAAAATGATGGAATTGTTGAGCCCAAGTCCGTAGAACGCTATAAAGTCAGCGCGTTACAGTCAAAGTGTAGTATACTGACCGACGTCAAGGAAGAACCACGAGCCTGCAGTGCCAAGCAATACTTTGCCATGCTTCCAAGTGGTAAAATGCGAACGAAAGTCCGACCAGCTTGCTTTTGGAGTCACTAGTCTGATATTCGCGCTTTGAAGCACAGCTACCCGTTTGACCTCGTCAGGATGACCTTCGTGTTTTCCCAGAATGTAAGCTTCAACATCTTCATCCGCTTTCAGTAAATCTCTGGCGACATCAAAAGTGTAGCGCGGGGTTTCAGGGATAGTTAAACGATAATAAAGCGCGAGACAAGCCGGAACCGCTCCGAACCCAATGACGACCCGCCACATTTTATCCACGGCCAGCTGACAGACTCCACTGCATTTACTCACGGAGGCTGCAGACTCCAGGGAGCCTCTAAAGCCCACCGTCACAATCAGCGCGACAATGGCAGCAGCAAACTGTCCAAAGCCTTGCATGGCAAAGACGGCTCCCATCATGGCTCCTCTATGCTTTGTGTTCGCGAACCTAATCGGTTAGCTGAGTATAGTTGTAAAGAGTAAGGACATACTCTGAAGTGATGATCGAAGATAATGGATAGTCACCACCAATGCCGATACCCATGACTGTACGCCAGAATACCAAAAGGCCCGTGATGGACACTGCAGGAGAATTCGAGGACAAGCACTGTGCCAATGTAGCCAATATAATAATGATGAGCTCAATCCCGTACATGCGCTTGCGACCGACAATATCTGCCAACCATCCAAAGAACAACTGGCCGATGACGGTACCAGCTGATGTGGAGATCTTGATGGCAGTGTCCGAGCTGTATGGGATCTTGCCAGGGCGGTTGGTCGCATGTTCCCAAAAGACAACACCCAGCATGCTTGAGCAGAGGTTGATGGCAAAAATATCGTAGGAGTCGGTGAAGAAGCCCACTCCTGCCACAACAACCGCGCGAGCGTGACGCCATCCGAACGGCGCGTCGTCGATGCGTGCGAGGGCTAATCGACGACGCTCGTTGGGGTCCTCCACATGAGAAAGGTCAACATTGTAGTTGGGGAATGCGGCCGTGTCAGGGGCAGCCATATCATCCCAACAAGGCGTCACGACGGATAGGTCCTGCAAGAATATATGAGAGTGTTAGTGGTATACATAGATCATGAAGATGGGGAGGTTGTTGGAGAGTGGAAATCGTGCTTATAATGCTTACCTACTACTCTCTCTGAGTTCCAGACACTCCCTCAAGCTTCCATCCTCGTTCACCCGTCTGGATATGGCATCTTCAGGAAGGAAGTCAATGGTGTCTGAAGTGACAGCAACACTCGGGCAGACCGATATGGGAGGAGATGGATACCAGTCAGCCGGGCACGTGGGGTTTTATCAACCTGCCTGGGTTGGAGGCATCCATGGGTCATATTTATCGGACGGTCTGGAGTTCCTGTAGCTCAGCTGAGGTTAACTTTAATTCAGCCCAAAGTTATCTGGAAGTCTCCAAGCTCCTGTGGGCTGACATCATAGGACATCATCTTACAGTGTTTTTGAATGGAGTTAAGCCACGTTTTGCCTTCGATATCAATGCATGTGAAGGTGGCTTCCGCTTCTGATAGCACCGTAAAATAGTGAAAGTCATGGGACTTGCCATGTAGATGGTAGAAGCTCAGGTCGAGATGCAACTCTAGTATCAGGACATGCGTGTCTAGGTTAGCTTTAGTCATGATATGGACCGGCAGTAGTATGATACGTGGGTTTGTTGAGAAAGACAGACAGCGAAGAAATAGCGATTAACACGTGACAAACGCAAAGAATCACCCTAATTAGACATCCTACGCCGTATAGACTACACTAGTTTAATCGCATCTCTTCAAGCTCTTTTGCATTTTTACTTTCTTTCTCTAGCGTTAGATTCCCCAAACCCCTAAAGGATCCGCGCCTAAAGATCCTCGACCCTGTTGCAGCTTCTTCACTCGTTTAACTATGGTTCCAACACATATAGGTCCCACTAGTGTGCAGATCGAAATTGCCCAAATGACTATCAAATAGATTTCCGAGACGTCCTCATCAGACCCACTGGAGAACATCCCCTGGCTCTCCGCGAGAGAAGCAATGAGATAGCCAACCTCACCTCGGGCAACCATTGCCAATCCGAGGATAAACGGTGGATAGAGCGATTTGGGCTTGGGAGGGAGGGACATGGTACTGCTGGGATTGGATGAGGTGGTTTGAGGTTCTGTTTCAGATACAGGCCCATTGCAGTTGGGATTTTGGGGATTTCCCCTGTGTTCGGCCGAGTTTCTAGAATCTGCATTTTGATCAGACTGTTCTGTACGAACTGCAGATTGGCGTCTAGGGCGAGAATCCTTCTCCTTTGCCTTCTTCAATTTCTTGTCCTCGCTTTTAGGAGAAGTGCAGGAGATGAGAGCCCAAGAGAACGGTCTCCCAAGAATGGACAGCAGAGTTGTCGTCGAAGGTAGCGAGAAACGAACGAGCCATAGACCGGTGACCATCTTTCCAAACATCATGAGGATGGCGTAAATGACACCGCGCCATACAACGTCTCCGCGGAACATCTTAGTGATAGGTATAGCAAAGCCGATGGAGGCCTGTAAATGTTAGAGGTAGATAATAGCCACCAGGGATAAGACTTACGAAGAACAGTGGAATCAAAATCCGATTCACGGGCTCTTTATAGTACTTCTCATACACTTCTATACCGGTCGGAACTTTTTCATGTGGATTGTATGAAGGTTCCAGCGGCATGCTTGGAGTATTGCTGTTCGAACGATCCTGAGGTGTAGACTGTTCAGAAGTAGTCTGCTCACCTAGCACGCTAGATCTTGACCGTAATGTATTGCGATGCGTGTTAGCATTTGGAATATGGCTATCAGCAGCCAATCCATCAAACCAAGAAATAATCACGCCCGCAAGATACGCAGCAAATAGGCTGGAGGTCCCTGCGTAGGTAGCGCCCGCAACAAGCCCCACCAGCATAGATGTCTGCGCAAGGAAAGCAAAATGCATAGATCCCATAAATTGCGGCAGGTTACCTCTCATAGTGAGAGCCTTTTGCAGGATCGGCTTCAGGCAGAATGCGCATAGGATGAAGACACCTAATCCAAAGCCGATAGAGACAAATAAGGGTCGGACCACAGTAACAGCATTGAACGACGAATCACTACCACCGAGGTTTGAGATGATTTGAACCATTACAAGACCAACAACATCGTCTAACATAGCAGCACTTGTAGTGACAGTGCCAAGACGTGTATGGATCAGATTAGTGGTTGATAGTATGGTGAAAGTGGTGCCAAGACTGGTCGCGCTGAGAGATGCGCCTGCAGCGAAGGCCTGAAGGGGGCTGGCGGAGACCAGCTTCACCAAGATGAACGATAAGCCCATTGGAACCCCGATCCCAGTGAGGGCAACACATAGCGAAATGACGAGGTTGGCTCTCATGGATTTGATTGAGGTTGATAGGCCACCTACATAAGTGAGTCATGGATCATTCCCCTGGACCAATGAGACTCACCTTCATACACCAGCATGATAAGGCCAATATAGCCCAGTTGCTGGATTACTCTTTCAGTCTCCGTGTCCAGCCATTTTGCCCCGGGGGTCCCCCAGAGGATACCGACGAACAGTTGACCGATCAGTCCACAGTACAGTAGCTTATCGAGACAGACATTGATGAGGTTCAAGACCACCAAGAGTCCAGCCTGATTGAGAAGAGTCGAGATACTTGGCTCATGGTACGCAAAAGCTGCGTCCGACCCACTGCTAGCCATATTGACCCCACGGAATGCAAGAAGTTCATGGATGTTGTTTCATTTTCGGATGCCGCTGATTGCAGATCGTGCTGGCCGGTGATTACTAATCTACTCCCCGATCGATTTTCTGCAGTCAAACAAATGTTTAACACTTTACTCTGCAGTTGGATATAGCCATACCACTGATGCAGAGAGAGCAGTCGGAGATAGTTACCGGATTCTGCTCATTCCATGGCCTGCGCTGTGAGTAATCCGACCTAACTATAATGCACTCACTCACCCATCCGTCAGAGGCTGGAGGTCTCAGCTCCTGAATTGATCCACCGATGCATGGCGCTGAAGATATTCTCCCTACCAGCTAATGGGATATAATTAGTACTAAATGCTTTCAAGTGTCTGTATCTGAAACCTTTGCGCACGGCTCGATAGGCAGTTTGCCCGAAGTGCATATTGTTAGCACATGCAACACTCCCAAAGGCGTTGATAGTAAAATATAAAGAAACATCAAAAATCAGCAATTCTATGCATTAGCCAAACCTTCTGTAATTAAGTGACAGCAGTAACTGTCGATCACTCCTATCAGCCAGGAAAGCTACAATTCCAGCCAGCGATGGACCAAGCACCTGTCTGGAAACAACCTCGGCACACGACGATGTGCATAACGTTGATGCATAAACCCAATTCAACCTAATCATCTAAGAATTAGTCAAATAGAGCAATGCTAATGAAGAAGACAAGTAAAAATAGAATTGCGGAAGCGTTTCATCCCAGCCGCAAGATCGACACCGGCGTCGCATCCAAGTCTGGCTGGAACCCTCGGAAGAGAACCGACCACTTCAACATGCTCCGACGGAGGTTACAGATAGAAAGCGAGATAGGAACACCCGTTCATGAGTTTTGCTTCTTCTTCTCCTTTTTCAGTCTATCTCGCAAGTATTACTCTAGATGTCTAGTCAGTCAGTTTAGATGAGTATGAATCTCCGAAGTGCAAAGACAAATCAATCCAAGCCCGGTCTAATTCTGGATTTAGGGTAGATACGGTACCTCGGAACCTCAAAATTGAGTCGAACGGTTCGACTCAAGCAGATCACCCGACCACCCCTCCCCCTTCTGTCTACCACAGTATAGACTAGGACTGTCCTCCGATCACGGTTTCCCGACATTTAAATCGAGAAGTAAGTCGATCCTTTCCGGATGCTGAACCATAAGCTCCAGTCCGCGGTATCAGATCTCAGACGCACACACACCCCTGACCCCTACCTATCCTTCTAGTCTACATACTAACTTATTGTACTGTGAACTGAATTCTCACGCCTTCAAGCGAGGAGGGGGGAAAAGGTATATAATCGTCTTCAATTCCTGCTCAGATCTTCTGTTTTTCATCCAGCATTCTCAAGCAAGCAAGCAAGCAATCCTTCCTTCCTTCATCCATCCATCCATCTTTCGCTCGTTCTATTTACATTCCCTCGTTAGGGTATGTACTTCTCTCTCTCCTACTTCTTGTTGAAGAAATTGCACAGACACAGCTAACACTAAGCTCAAAGAATCTTAATCTACTTAGTCAAAATGCAGTTCACTCTCATCACCGCTTTCGCCACTGCCTTCCTGGCCTCCTTCGTGGCCGCTAACCCTGCTCCCGCCCCGGCTCCCTTCGAGATCGGTATCGGTGCCAACGCTGCCGCTAACGCCGCTGCTGAGGTCGCTGCCAACGCTGGTCTCGGTGCCGGTGCTGGTATCCACTTCAAGGCTTGAGTGGGTTCATTAGAGTGAGTGACTTTTACAACATACTTGGAGTACTTGCTTTATTGAAGTAGGAGAGAGAGCTAATTGTTGGTGTTGTATATGAACAGGGTTCTCTGTTGACCACGATATCATTATTCAAGTACCTGCTGTGCTGGTATATCTGGATGGATGGGATAAGGTTGGATTTATTGGTATTTTTGTATTTAGTCGGTGTCGGGATAATATGATAATGTTTTGTTGATTTTCTTCTGTATCTGCTGTAGTCTAACTAATAAACATTCTTCATCTTAACGACTCTTCCGAGTGGTCGCACCAAAGATTATGAATGAACAGTAAATCACACATATCCAACTACATTCTAGCCCAGCCCTTCCTAGTATGCCCCAAACCTACCCGCTGTTTATGCCCACATGGCCTTGAACTTCTCATTGAACTCAGCTTGAAGCATTCTGAACGCCCTCAAGACTTGCAAAAATCCCTGCTCAATATCACTCGGTAAGGTGGAGGAAGTGGGATTGTTAGTCGCCTTTGCATTTCCCTCTCTCTCGGGTACCTTATTTTCACTTTCTTCATCGTCACTCAACTCATCTTCCCAGCTGTCTGCTACCTTCGCTCTCTTTGGATTGGCGGATGCCGAAGTGAGCGGAGGCTTGGTTGTGGCTTGCATCCGGACTTGGGGTAAATTGGCCGATTTCGCGGCTGTCCCTGGCAGGGGATCGTTTGCAGCATAAGCATTATCGTCCAAGTCAATCTCATGCACATCACCGCTGCCGGCCACATCCAACAGATCCAGGTCAATGTTTGGGGATAGCTTGAGATAGTTCTCGAAATCAGTGACAATTGTGGCGAGAACCAGGGAAAAGTCGTTCAGGAGAAACCAAATATCACCCTTGCGGATCATGTTTCCCTTCTCCAATGCCTTCACATTTCCGTGTTTGAAGAAATCATATAGATACGCATTGAGAGGAAGTTTGCCCTCTTCCGGGTAAAGCCCCACATACGGCACCACTGCTTGTTCGAGCCAGACACCACTGCGGACCTTTTTACAGAGGTCAGATATACTCCGCCATTTATCGCCATGACCTGACAGTGCGGCAAATGACGATGTGACTCGGGTCGGAGGAGTAACGGCCAGTGCGTGGCTGATTCCCTCCGGAGATTTGTCGCCACCGCACTTCATTCCTGTCAGCGGGAGGAAACAGCCTGGATCAATGATGTGCTGCTCAACAAAGGTGGTCACATAAGATGTGTAAATATCTTGAGTCTTCTCGTTATGACTGCGCAAGATACTAGCTGCCTTCTTCGGAAGACTTGGAAGAATCACAACAGATGGGGATCTCTTCTCAGAGGTTCGGAGATTCTCAAGGGCAACTGGAGGTAGATATTTGCGACCGAACAAGTGCGACATCACAAGCATCAGTGTAAGAACGGTTTCTTTGGGTTCCTTGCCAATGTTTTTGCACAGTCGGTGAAAGTAACCACCGTTGAGGAGCGCATGGAATGCAAAGCTCGAATTCTCGGTGTAGTACAGATGCGATATGGTGCCCGAAAAATTGAGGGGACAACCGCTAGCGTCGAGGAGCTGATTGCGACGGAGGTATTCGATCGAGAACCGCAGGTGATGGAGAACAGTATGTTTGGCCTCCGGTCCCCCAAGATAGATCCGTGGGCATGATAAAATCGAATCTATGGCTTTGACGGCAAACTCAGATCCATCAGACTCCCGAAGCAGAATGAAAAGTCTTAGTACTAGGGTTGTAGACAACGGAAAATGGCCATTCAAGCTTGGAAGCTTCGAGCTGAGTAGACGGTAAATCTTGGAATCCGGAATACACTGAAAGACCACGTTGCCTAGGAAGTCGAAGCCTCGGCGTCCAGCTCGACCAGCTGCTTGCCGAAATCCAAGTGCAGTTAAAAAGACAGAATCACCGGCGAAGACGACGGTTTTGCATGGCATATTGATACCAAGAGCCAATGTACCTGTGGCGATGACAACCCGGAGGTAGCCCCTGCGGAAGAGCATCTCACAAACCTGTCGGTACTTGCGATTCATACCAGCGTGATGGACACCGATCCCACGCTTCATAGCATCAATCAACCGAGGAGAGACCTGCCGTTTATGCAGTTCTTGAGCATGTTCCTCAAACTCAGAACCCGCCAGCTTCTTCTTATCAGCTAGGGAAAACCTCGATATTGGCTCATCTGGGTCAAACAATGCGTGCCAACTCGATTCTGCAGACGCAGTCTCACGCATCTGTTCTGCTCTGGACATGTTTTCATCTCTGTCTTCAGATCGGCTTTTCCCTTTGACAGGGTTTCTCTGTTTGGGGCGCTTTTCTTCCGACTTCTTCCACTTTTCCCACTCACTAATCTTGTTCGCCCAGCTTGTACTTGAGACCTTCCACCGGGCCTCGGACTGTTCCAGTTCATCAAGAATATGCTGACACATCCTCTCACACTCACTTCGATCATAATTAAAGAAAATAGCTGGTAGGGCGCCTTGGTTATGGAGAGAACAGATCAGGGGCAGTGTTGTACTGAGAAGTCTGTTATTCACTGCGCGGGGCTCATCTGACTGGCCGAGTTCGCCAGACGATACCTGCACGTTGCCGTTCTTCTCTACATAGCTTCCTTGTGCGAGTTCCTCCACGACAGCATCGAATGGAGAGTCTGAATTGTTCATCCAATGTTTCAGTACCAGCTTCAGCTTGGCCTCCCACTCCACTATGTTGGCTTTGGATATGACACCTGGCAGCGCGTTTGACGGGTCCAACGCCTTGTCAAGCGGATAATTCGCTGTTTTGTACTTGTCCATGGCCTTCCAAAGTGTCCAACAGTCACGCGGCTCCATAGTTAGATCGTCCGGGAATCCACGAGATCTGTTGGTCAGGCTTGTCACAGGATGTATAAACGACATGTTTGGACAGGAATCGAGGCCGAGTGCAGCTATATGAGTGATATTCGATAGCCCGTTAAAGATGAAACTGGATGGAGGTCTGTATTGAAACTTTCTTAGATCCGACCATCTCGTTTTGTGCTCAATCATTTTCAGTTCGTGGCCATTTTCATTCTGAGTCAACTTCAGCCAGTCGCTGAATTCTTCGGGATTACCGACCGTTGCGGAAAGTGCGATGATAGGACAAGGTGCAAGAAGAAGCAATTGCTCCCATACTACTCCATCTTCTGACTGACCAATACAGTGGATTTCATCGAAAATGATACGTTGAATGCGAGACGCCCACGATCCCGCGTTTGACGGAGCAAGAAGCATTATCTGAAGGATGTGTGGCACTGTGATCAAAATTTGACAGCTAGTTGGGTTGTTGATGCGGTAATCACGTGTATGAATAGCCCAGACAGACTGTCCAGCGTATTTGTAGCTCTTACTGAATCTTGCTTGGACCTCGGCGGCGATCTGATTGACGAGTGCTTTAGTCGGGGCAACGTACACCAAGACCCCGTCGTCACTGCTCTCGAGGACCTGTTTCATAGCATAGAACCTATTCTACAGTCAGAACTCTGAAACATATATTGTTATAGGCTGCCATATGACACTTACGATATGAAAGTCTTCCCTGCACTTGTTGGAGCGACAACAAAAAGACTCGCTTTAGCGTCGATTTGGTCTAAGATCTCTCTCTGCCACCGATCAGGATCAAAATCGTGAACACGAGGGTCTGGTGCCGATTCCATATTTCGATCGAAGTATGGACCCGCATGAACAAGCTGAAACTCAACTGGTGACAAGCCCGTTTGCAAGTTGGCGTGCTGTGAAGATATTGGTGTGAATGAGGATGTTGCTTTTCTTGAACTGTGACAGGGTATGTCAATACGTGGAAGATTGAGCGCTTTGATAGTTTCTTCAACGAAGCGTCGAATGCCGACTGTAATTCCTTGCTTCGCCTTTGAGATCCTAAGAATCAAAAACCATATGAGTGCCACTATCCCCATAGGTTTGTCCTTCTCCGTTTCACACTTATTTTTCCACAGCTGCGCTAGGGTCATTATGAGATAAGCGAGTATGTCTAACTCTATCAGACAGTCTCCCTTTCTCTTCAAGCTGTGGAGATACTCGGAAGCATCTTGGTATCTCCGGACCAGATTGTAGGCATGCTCGATCCCATGGCGTTTAGTTTCCCATGCTTTTAATTGTCTTTCAAGATTGCTAGCCCGCTGTTCCTTGAAGTGAGCTTCTGCCTTTGCTTTAACCGACGCAGATACGCTGGTCTTTGGGTGTCTAGTCTGTTTTGGGCCATTTTTTGTGGATTGAGAGGTCCTGTCTCTCTCCGTAGCTTCAGGAGCCGGGTTTTTCCTTGACAAGACCTTGGGGTCTGTCTTAGTCTTTACAAAAATTGACTCTGGTTTCGCATCTGTGAGACTGGCAGCATACTGCTCAGTTTCAGCCATGAACTTCTGGTTACGGCGAAGAAGCCACTCTGTAAGAGGAATTGCATTCCGCTGATCTAGCGGTCTGCGATGATTATGCCAATGGCTGATTTCCTCAAAGATTCGCGACACTGCAAGCTCCTTCCCAGCAGCAGATTCGTCAATGGCAAGTGATATCGGCTTGAGATGGCGGTCAAAGTCGGGGTTGTTGAAAGGGAGAACGGAAGTTGTCTTTGTCCGGCTATTAATTTGGCCATTGCCCGATTTCCTAGTTTTCTTCTTGCTGCTTGCTTTGCTACCGCTAGTCTGGTCGCTCACTTGAAAGCTAGCAATTTCGACGCCACATAGGCCTTTCACTAGTGAAGCAAGCACCGAAAACCTATCCACGATTGATTGGCTGAAGGAGCATTCAAGATCAGACGGACAGATTATTTCCAATTGTATCAGCTCAAGGAACAACCACCCATCAATCAGGTCCGCCACATCACAGGTCAGGGGTCTAGCCCTCATAGCCTCATGCCACAGCTGTGATGTGATGATACTCCGATATACTTCAACATATTTTACCAGCAACAACTCACCAAGGTGACAGTATTTAGAATCATACACGCGGTTTTCAAGTTTGCACTCACTCAGAATGATTGCGTGCATCAACAGAACACGTAGCCCCAACATTTCATTCTCTTCGCAATAGTCAGAAGTTAGCAGAACACTTGCTGTAAGAACTGTGGCCCACTCTCGCTGAGTGAGAGTGTGATTAGTGGCGTCCAAGATAGGAGAGAAATTGCGTAGAGTAGGCTCGACTGAGGGAGGGCTAGTGGGAGAAGGTTTTTGAGCACTGGGGCTAGCTTCGCCGTGACAATGCACCAGATTGGTTTCAGATTCCACCTCTTCTGTATCAGAACCAGATGATACCGTATCCTCCGCAATGTCCAGGCTGACAGAATCCACGCAGAAAAGATTCCGTGCCCGTTCTGCGGAGCCCTCTAGAACCATAGTATACACCTATTCAAGGTTAGGTTTAGTCCAATACAGATGAAGACGCTGAGCTCACCTTGGTATCACGACACTCCAAGCTGTTCAACAAAGATATATTGAAGCCATATGCGATAAACCAGTGTATCATCGACCTGAGCGTAACTCTATTCGTCCAAAACGAGGAAAGAGCGCTATCGAAAGTTTCATCACAGCCACTGTCTGAGCTATCTTCTGACAGCACTTTCTCGGGGTCTTCCAGAGCTCTACCAAATGCTCTGTCATGCCCGCTAGAACTTGAAATGGCACCATCATGACACATGATAAAATAGACCCCCTCCGAAGTAAGATACTTCTCAAAATCAGAGCAGTTGTATGTATCAAAGCATCTCACTTGCATGGATGGAAAAGCCTTAGGAACATTCTGCTGGAGATGCTGTAAAATAGCTTCACGAGCTAGACGGTACTTCGGCAACAATAATTCATCAGCATGTGGTGGAATAGATGCCTCTGAGTTATCCGCGAAGAAGACGATGTGGAAATTGCAGTTTCGTTGTCGAAGCTGTGCTAGCAACCGCTCCACGATGTAAGTGGCGTGAAGCAGCTGAAAGCCATTGGAAAAATCAAGCTGATCGTCGGCGAAGCAGTGCAAGAGAAGTGAATCCCCTTCGATGATGAAGAGCTCACTGCCTGCATAATCGCCAACGAGGTCGACGGTACGGGAGTACAGGCCAGTGTACCTGAGGAGGAAACATTATCAGACGTGTCCTTGACAGCGTGCAACCAAACCTGGCCAGCGATATCTAGATTGGCCACTTACCAAGACAGGAGTTTCTGTGGATTTGTCATCGCGATGGTGTAACCAGGGCGTATGTGGGGGAGTAGAACAGAAGAGCTGTGAGGACGAGGGAGAAAGAAGTTGAAAGAGCAGATAGGCGCGTATCAGTGATGGCGGGGTACAGGATTGCAACCAATATATAGTATTCACTGCCAGGCCATTCACTGCAAGGCCATGCAAGGCTGTAGGCACCTTCCGAGCGAGCCTCGCAGTGGGCTATCTCTGATCCCTGCTAGTTGTTGTTGGGTCTAGCACTGCCATGCGGGGTGTGATATCCATGCGCGAACATTGGTCTCAGCAGCGCGCCAAACTGATACGATGGAAGAATGATGCGAAGCCACTCGTTGGCTATTAGACCATATGTGGTCTCGTTCGGGTGGGCCATAGACCCGAAAGTCGTGCAAGAGGAGAACACAGACCAAATAATCTAGAGTGTTTCCAACCGGATGATCCCGTAACTGGAGTTGATGTAAGTAGGACAAGCATCGTACTAGTATATCGATGAGCTGATGGGATAACGTTGGATGATTTAGTGGGTAATATATAGTATAAAATGTTCCAGTCGAGATTCGCTTTGGAAACGGTCAAATAACAGCCGGAACGAGCGGGGCTCAAATTTCCAACTGGTTGAAAGAAATTATATACCTGATCATGATCATTGCAAGATGAATCAAATTCCCCATTTGTTTACAGGAAATATAGCAAAGAGCTGACTACTAATTCTAAATGCAATAGAACAAGCAGAAAATTCTTGTATTGAATATAACTTAGAATAATACCAAACTTTCAACAACAAGCGTTAATGGTGTAGCGGTAACATTCAACCCTTCCACTCCTCTTGTGAGGTTGAGCTCTGGGTTCGACTCCCAGTTAACGCACAAGCATGATTTCTTTTTTTCTCTGCTCCACATACATATCTGTTCCTAATCAATCGATCATACATGGGTTACACCTCGATAGTCGCTATTCATGAAAGGATCAATTCGCAACCTTCATACCAAATTCAATTTTGGCACTCTGAATGAAGTCCGGAGTAACGCGCTCTCTCTCTCATATTCAGGCACATGTCCGACCGACCGACCGCCTCCCACATTACGGGTAGTGCCCCACCCTTATCCAGAACCCACACGTGACCTCGAAAAAGGCCGCCCCTCCAATCCCAAGAAATTATCATTGCATTCAACCAACGCCACTCACGATAACGAATTACTTTCACTGCTTGTACAGACCGGCATATCCCACCATGGCGCGTGTCCGCCTCGCCCCGCTCTCCTCCCTCACCCAAACCCGCTACGTCGTACACCTCTCTGACGGCAAACGCCTCGTCCTCTTCCGCCTCCCCACGATCGAGACCCCGAAAACCAAAGACAAACCTCGAGCGTGCAATGACGCCAACGGCTGGTCCTACTACGCCATGGAAGCGGAGTGTCCGCATGCCGGCGGCCCGATGAAAGACTCCTCCATCGACATTGAAGATTCGGCGTATATCGTGTCTTGTCCGTGGCATGCATATGATTTCAATGTTGAGACGGGAGAGTCGAGTGTCGGGATCAAGGCGTGCACGTTTCCTGTTGATGTGAGCGATGAGGATATGGTGGTTGTTGAATATACCTCTGAGAAACTGGGGGAGGGAGTGGAGTTGGCGAAGCTGGAGGCTGTGAGTGAGCAGATGAAGTTGAAGAAGAGTGTCAAGGGTGTGAACGGTGCGACGACGACGAATGGAGCGGGTGGTGAGGATGAGACTGAGACCACGCCTATTCGGTATCTGGATGACAATGCGACGGTGTGTGAATGGTGTGCGCACATCTTGAACACTTCGAACCCGGAACATAAGATCGAGTTGACGGCGCATTTATTCAAGTTGTTTACGGAACGAGAGGGAACGGATAAGCCTATGGTTATCGGGACTAGGGACGGCGTTGACCTTCCTGATTTACCGCCTAGGGATGGCGTCAAGGACGTGAATCGGCAGGCAGTTCCGAAGCCGGGTAGAGGTGGTACGCAGAAGAGCAGGATCAACATGCTGCATGCGCTGGCGAACATCGAACAATGGGCAATTGATCTTGCGGTCGATATCTGTGTGCGGTTCGCGAAGTTCCAGACGGAGTCTCCAGATGCGCTGGGTCTCCCGCGGGCGTTTTTCCACGACTGGTTGAAGGTCGCTAATGATGAGGCGAAGCATTTCTCTCTCCTGCGTACAAGGCTCGAGGAACTTGGCTCGTATTTCGGTGCCCTTCCGGTTCATCATGGACTATGGGACTCTGCGACCGTGACTGCCCATGATTTGCGCGCCCGGATCAGTATCATTGCGTTGGTGCACGAGGCGCGCGGATTGGATGTGAATCCAGTGACGATTGACAAGTTCCGCAAGGCCGGAGATGGAGATAGTGTTGACACTTTGGAGATTATCCACAATGATGAGATCACCCATGTTACGACGGGCCATCGCTGGTTGACCTGGATTTGTGCCCAGGAGGAGACGGATCCCGTTAAGGTATTCCGGGGAAATGTACAAAAGTACTTCCGCGGGCCGTTGAGAGAACCGTTCAATACAGAGGCCAGGTTGCAAGCTGGTCTGGATAAGAGGTATTATGAAAATCTCTCGGGGTACGAGGGAGTTCAGCCTGCTTGATCGCTCGTTGAGTGGTAGTTCCATATTGAAGAGCGCTTCAACTCCCTTGCTGTCGTGGCGGTTGTGTACTTTCCCAGGAAAATGGCGAGTGATGCACAGGCTTTACCAACTCGCGCCCTTGTCAAGGATCTTTGATTGCCAGTAACATGGGAATCAGGATCGGGATGATGATTTATCTCGGTTCTGCCGCTGGATCCGGTGTTGTCGACATCGCCATCGCTGACAGACATACTCAGTACACCCTCTGAACACCTCGTAACTTTCCGAGCAATCATGACAAGAAGTGCCCTACGTGAGGGGCAAAGCACCGTGAACTGCTTAGTGATGCGACACTGAGGGAGTTGTGCCACCCCATTCTTAATGAAGGTGCATGACCCCAGGTACGTACTTGTGGGACTCGTGTGGTCAGGAGTATCATAAGTGCCCGCATATTTTATGTCTCGAGATGACGACCTCTCCAAAAGCATGTCCATACAACTAGAATCATTACAAAAGATACCCCATATAGATTAGACCAAAAGTTTAACAAATCATTCAAAGTGAATTTCTATACATCTAATCGTAACAGTCAAAGCTCGTGAGCTCATTAGATCGTCAACGTCCCCGTCAACTGGGTATCAAGCACACTCTTCCCCACATAAACCGAATAATCACCCTTCTGCAAACCCCAAGCTTGGTTCACTACATCCCATGAACTGAGATCGCGTCTCGTCAGATCGAATTGGACCTTCGTGTGATGGCCCGGCTGGATAAGCTTCTTCTCGAAACCACGGAGGACCTTCGCTGGGCCACCGGGGATACCCAGATAGAGCTGAGCGACTTCAGCCGCAGCAACAGATCCAGTGTTGGCGACAGAGCAGGTAACCGTAGCCACTACATCCCAGAGGGCAGGAATACCGCCTTCCTCGATGGTAGAGTTGGGAGGTAGGTAGTCAGTGTTCACACCGGTGTGAATGGAGATCTTGAGACCCGAGTAATCGAAGGTGGAGTAGGTGAGACCGTAGCCGAATTCATAGCGAGGGGTGATGTTCTTCTGCTCGAAGGCCTTGTAGTCGATATAGACACCCTCGGTGAAGTTGTCTTGCGGGTAGTACAAGTCCTTAGTTCCGGAAGGAATGACTGGGCTCAGGAGAGCACCGTAGTCAGAGGCGTTTTTGGCGACGGTGTAGGGAAGACGGCCAGAAGGGGATTGTTTGCCGTACATGATCTCGACGAGGGCGCGACCGCTGTCTTGACCGGGGAGATGGCCGTAGATGACGGCAGTGATGTTAGGGTTGTCGATCCAACGGTCGACGAGACGAATGCCGGCGTTGTGGATGATCACCATCGTGTTGTTGCATTGGGAGGCGACATTCTCGACCAGAGTGTCGGAATAGGGGTCGGCCACGTACGGACGGTCCCAACCTTCAGCTGCGGCTTCGTTAATGAAGACAAGACACGCTTCACTAGCCGGGTTCACGATTGGAGACTGAGAAGCAAAGTCCCAGGCGAGGAAGGTGTTGTCTTCATAAGCTTGACGTTGGAAGGCATCGAAGGGAGCGTCGATGTAGGATGGAGTGCTGGAGCCGGAGCCGCCCCCGGAGATCATGGTACCATTCAAGGAAACACCAGGGCCATTTTCAGAGGGGTTGGTGCTGGAGAGGAACATGTATTTGAGATGAGAGGGGTCCACGGCGGTGCCGTTGGGATAACTTAGAGTGTTGTCGAGGCCCATGGTCCAGAGACTCCAGGAAAGGTCATCCATGGTATTGCGCTGCGCGGCGATGGCATCATATCCGAAAAGTGATAGGATCTTGGGCTCCTTTAGAGGCAAGGCGTTGTCGGTGTTTTTGACAAGAACGTGGCCTTCGATAGCCTCCTGGAGAATGGTGGCCTTGGAGGCAGGATCGCGAGCGTCAACTGGCTCATGGGGCTCTAGGAGGCTGATGGGCATGCCAAAGCCGGGGTCTTCTAGCTCTGCATACTTGTACCATGCAGCGACGATGCGGGTTGCCATGTCATCGAGACGCGTAGATGAGAGCGATCCATTACGGACGGCCAATGATAGGTTGCCATTCTCCCAGTAGACAGAGTCAGGCATGACCATATCGAGACCTGCCGCTGCACTGGCAATACCCGACTGCTGGGCATTCCAGTCAGAGACGACAAACCCTTGGAAGCCCAATTCACCCTTCAGCAGACCATTCAAGTTCTTGCTGTTTTGACATCCATAGCTGTTGTTGATGCGATTGTAGCTGCACATGACGGCACCTGCACCAGCTTTGACTGCATCCTGGAAGGGCCACAAGTAAAGCTCGTGGATAGTTTTGTCATCGATATTGGAGGAGACCGACTGGTTATAGCTGTCTTCCAGTAGTTGGGGCGTGTTGCGGTTCGTCTCCTGCTCATTTCCGATGAAATGCTTGACGCAGGCAATGACGGACTCCTGAAGA